ACTATTCAGAGAATAGTGCTAAAATAGAACTCTGATCCCATTACCTTGGATGTTCTTGTATTAGTTCGGTAGAAGCGGCAGATATTTTCTGTTGGTGAAAGGGTGTCCACATTGATTAAACTTTTCGTAACGGTGCGAACTCGTTTCAATGTGCGCGAAAATTCGCTCGCCAACAATCTACGTTCGACGTGCCCGTCTCTTGTTTGATACTTCGATGGCCCGTTCTTACTGGTTGTGCAAGCTCCAGCATAATCTCTATTTTTCGGAGTTTTGCCGGTTTAACTATTATGGTTTCATGGACCCCATCACTTTGGATGTTTTTGTATTAGGTCAGCCTAGACAAACTCTGCACCAGGTCATCACCACCACAGGCACCCTTCCTCGCTGCCCTTGTGGATCAGAGGAAGATTTCCCACCATGCAACTAGTTTGGTACCAGGACGGTAAAGGATCCTGGTATTGGCTTTCTTAGCTGGGCTTCTTGATGAAAACGCCGACTAGTTCTCTGCCTTGGAGGCTCTATTAGAGGAATAAATCTTCCTCCATACGCCGCAGCCCGATACCTAGGAACACCTCCCAGGCACGATGAGGCGGTGAAGGGTTGGGAGGGAATTCCGGGTTACACGATGGAATTTATTTTTACGTCAACACCAATCCTCTGCAGTTTATAATCACGAATGCGTAAAAACACTGTGAATCTTTCACGACCTTATTTATATAAACTTTTTGCTACCCTCTCCCAATGGTTTACTTTCTCATCGTGGCTGGGAGGTGTTCCTGGGTGTCGGACTGCGATTTACAGCGGGGATTCATCCTCTAGCAGGGTCTCCCAAGCTGAGAAGGAGTCTGGCGCTTCCATCAAGAAGCCTAACTAAGAGGAAACCAAAACCAGGAACCGCCACCGTCCTGGTATCAAAGTCTCATGGTGACATATCTCCCTTTGATCCACATGGGCTGCGACTGCCGGTCGTGGTGACTACCTGGGGCAGACTTTGGCCAGGCTGACCTCAGGACTCCAGGGAACCATAATGGTTTAACCAGCGAATCTCCGAAAAATGGAGATTATGCTGAGGCTCACACAACCAGTGAGGACGGGCCATTCAAGTATCGAGTATAAGTATTTATTCGTCATTATAAACTCAGAGTTTGTGTTCAAATGAATTTGAGGTTGAAACAACAATTTAGAAAGGATATTTGCGCCATGACGTCGATAAGGCAAAGTCTTCTGCATAAGTATTGAAGCTCTCTAACCATTCTTTAAATTAAACAGAATCCAGGCTTTGTGCAATACACATCAAATCCGATGAAGGCTAGAAGTGTTAGGAGCAACCTTTTAAAAATGACCCTTAAGTGGTAACTGCGTCAGATAATATCATACAAAATTGCTGTATGCAGCTCTCGTTCCCATCAGCTCTTCTGTAACGCATTGCAAAAGCAACAATCTCACGGTCAAATCTATGACATTGAGTGATAATAGAAAAAGAAAAAAATTTACATTTGATTGTGGTGTGGGTAGCACAATAGCAGTGATGCTGACCAATACTTACAAGCCCGTGATTAGACCGTAGTCCACCAGAATAAAGCCTTGCAACACATCCGGTTCGGAAATTTAGTGTCAGATTTGTCTGGGAAAATCTTCCGATTAACAGTGACTGATAGCTGCCTATGGTAAAGTCCTGGGAGAGAGGATTATGGGGAGAACCTACTTTACCTACTTCCAACGATATCCTTAAAACTGAAATCGTGAAGAAGTGGCCAAACTCGTTATGCGAATCCGGACATATCTGTCGATGATTGATGCGGGAAAGCGGACCGAATGTAAAAAGTGCTGGGATCCGCACAATACGTCATACGGTCAGGTGATAAAATTGCTTTGTATATAAGGCTGACTTGTTTTTCCTTGTGTGCCAATTTCTTAAGGTACTCTTTAGATATGTTCAAGCGAAGAACTTTACAGTGTTTTGACAAACTAGCCCTACTCGTCGTTCACAAACATTCTGGCAGCATCACTGACCTTGTTTATATTGCGATTTAATGTTTTTCACTGTTTCGTTTGTAATCGTCAATGTCAGCGTAATTTTTATCCAATTTAAATTGGCTGGGAAGGTGGGTGTGGTGATCTATGACCGCATTGGCCATTTCGCATATTTTGGGGCTGTTCTATGTCTTGGTCTTTTGTCAGTTTATTTCCAATTTGTGGTAGTCCTACAAAAGCTTTACTTGATTATTTTAACACTCAATTCCATATTGGATGGCTCCTTTCCAACAGATGTGAAGCTCCTGTTCCAATTCCCTCGGCGATGGTGTTCTGTTCGTCGAGTAGGTTTTTCGTTTTAACGTCTGATTGCACTTAAGCACGTTATCACCTCGCTATTACGAAGAAAAGCCGACTTTTGTTAATTATAAGTGGGAGGTGGGTGTGGTGATCTATGACCGAATCACTTCAAAACAGTAGTGCTCCATGACATAGGTATACTCCTAGCTGCACTTTCGGATGGGAAACAGAACTCTTCCCATGGATGACTCTGCCGATGAGCCAACTTTTTCGCTGAGGTTTTTAGAAGCAGAAGTTCAAGATCAGGTGGCCGATTCTACGGGCGGCATTTCAACCAGAGTTCACCGGTTTATTTTTTCCTCTTATCGCTATCACTGAGTTTGAGTCCCAGCAACTAGGCTAAGATCTTTCAGCTGTTTTGTTTTTCAAATTTCTTTAAAAGTGGTCATCTAATGGAGAGGAGATTTTCTAAGGCGAACAATCAATTGGGCGAGTGTTCTTTGTGTAATCGACCAACCTTCACGTATTCGGTAAACACATCTCCTAACTTCGTTACAGGCATTGAAGGGTGTTTCATAACTATACTAGCGTGGTGTTAAAAAATAGCTTTGTTCATCTCCTCCAAACAAATGGGTACTAAATTCACGACAACACAGTATCGCATAGCGAAATACAAGTCATCGTAGCTTTGAGCCAAGCCGATCTAAATATCAGGTTATCCAGAGCTATTCTGTGAAGTAACTTTAATCAACCAATAGCTAATAAGTCAGAATTTTCACTGGAATTCCAAATTTTTCCCGTTGAGTAAGAACCATCTTATCAGACTAGCAAATATAAGTGGATTCCTTCCTCAAATGAACCATGTGTTTAAATAAATTTTTTTTTCTTCCCCGGCTTCATTCAAAATCATCTTCAAATTTTCTCGACATCGACACTTTTGATTTCAGACTAAACCAGCTTTAGTATTTCAAGTGCGGATAGATTTCGAAGTAAAATAGCTAAGTATGGCTATGATTTTCCAGCTTGAATCTTAACCAACCAATACTACAATTCATCACCGTTCTGGTACCAAACTAGTCACATGATAGCAAATCCTCCTCTGATCCACAAGGGCGGCGACTGCCTATGGTGGTGACGACCTAGTGGCCTGGCTGACCTTAGCGCACCAGGGAACCTTAATGGTTAGACCAGCGAAACTACGAAAAAAATGGAGATTATTCAAGGATCCGCACAATCAGTAAGGAACCAAGTGTCCAAGTAAGTATGGTTATGTGTCGTACAAAATATTACTTGTTTAGATTCCTTGAAGACCCGTCATCATATACAGTCTTGAACGCGGCACTTCCTAATTTTGTCCCGTTGTCTTCCAACATTAATTAACGGTGGTGGTTCGGCACGTGTGGGTTCCGTTACAACTTCTGTAGTGTTCTGTCCTCATTGACATGTGATGTGAGTATCGAATGAGTGTGCTCTTTTCTGGATTTCCTCAATGGTCGTATTAGAAGGTTATCAGATGCAGTCGAACGCGTTGTCACTTGAAGGGTGGGTATATTGTTCGCTTTGCGACTAGAGCTCTTCACGGTATACAGCCTTTTTCATTAGTAGATTTCCAACAAGTCAAAAACGATGTAGGTGGCGGAATCTTTGCAAGGCGGCCGTGTTGGCTGATTACCCATACCTGTCAATAATCTTCTCTGTTAGGGTGACCGTGGATTCCAGCTGGCTTCCTTGTTGGCATGTCAGTAAGCTGGCCCTTTTACTGCTAGCAATGGTTTTTGCTTTCGCTTGTAAATAACCTCGCCCGTTACCATTGTTTTCTTCATCGCAATCCAACACTGTCGGTAACCGGTTGAGGCTGCACACGCCTACAACGAAGTTTAAACGCTCTGTGCTATATAAAGCTCTCTGACATTTTCTGTTTATATTCTGTGTTTTATCAGCTGCTCAGTTTCGTAAGAGACTTTTTTGAGCAATGGGCTAATAGTATTCGTAGTGTGTTTAGATTAAGTACTGTATCTAAAATGTTTCTTCATAACAAAACTATGAATGTGAAAAACCCCTCAGTTTTTAACGTTCTGTGATGGGGCATCGTAAGAAACAATGTTTTTTGTTAAGCAAACGAATCATTGTTTCGAAAGTTTAGAAAGCCTTCTTTTTCTTTGGTGTCGTTTTAAATGAGCAGTTGTTTTCCTTTTACGTAACTCCAACTATTTTGATAAGCATGAGACTAATTCAAAACTACCAAAGGATAAAAAAGGATAAAGCTCTCAGCGTCCATCAATCCCCGAAGGATGCGCCCTGCATTCGAATTCATTAAGGACCGTCGGAAGTGAATGAATGCATATCTGGCCTTAACAATTACTCGCGGTGCCCTTCCGATGTATCGAACTAGTGCTGCTATCCTCCCAGACAAGTCTGGTAACAATTTTCCGACCGCGCAGAGATGAAATGCTTGGTGGGCGACGGGCGCGAGGATCGATCCCATATGTGTGTCGCAGGGCGCTCACGAGAGCTGCGCCACACGCGCCCAAAGCTACCAAATAAAATAAGATAAAGCAGAAATATTACCATATCAACCAGTATCATATTCTCTCTGCATAAAATGCACCCTGATAGTTGGATTCGCTCTAGATGTACCATTTAGATGTTAATAAGAACTCTTTTTGTGACACGTTACTGAATTTTCTACGGTCTTTGATTGCCACAATAAGATGATTATCTTTGAGATGATGAACTTGGTTGCATTGTTGTGTTTACTTTCTACTACTGCTGCGCTACCGTTCATAGGAACTGTTCAGTCGGTCGCGGTAACAGGAAAGCTTACCTGTAATGGAAAACCAGCTGAGAATGTTAAGGTGAAACTGTACGAAAAAGAAGTCTGTAAGTTTACATGATGAAATTTATACATTAATATTCAGTATGTGAAAGATATTTGAGAGGCAGTCGCAACAATGCTGAGTTATTCTTTCTACTCTATTCTACTTTTTTCTACTTACTTTCTTAGTTAATCTTTCTACTTCTTTCTACTTATTCATTCAATACCGAGGTTAATAGAAAGTTGGACTTGGGAGATGCTGAGTTATTTGCAAAACTTGAGTCCTAAGCTAGATTCGAAAATAGCTGAAAGAAAGGTAAGTCAAGGGTCTTCGTGGCGCAGTTGAGAAAACATCAGCTCCCGAAAAGGGAAATCATAGGGTTCGAATCTGGTCTGGGGTCCAAGATTTACAAATAACTCAACATCATTGTAGCTGTATTTCACACAATACCTCTCCATGAAAAATAATAGGCGGTAGATAAAAAGAAAGGTTTGGTGGGCCACGGGTGCGAGGATGGATTCCACGTGCGTGTAGCAATGGTGCCTCCAACCACTGCTCCACAAGCACCAAGTTCTCAGTAACAAAGACCAAATGACAAGCAGGATTGTGCTTCCAAGATCCGTGATTTACGGATGCAAGTGATGATATTTGATAGAATTTTTCTAAACTTATCTTCCTGCATACTATAGCTCGGAAACCTTAAAAAATCGAGTTTAGAAAATAAAAAGAAATAAATTCAGTGCTCGACACGCTACTGGACGAGAAGTTTTCCGATTCCAAGGGCACGTTTACGCTTTCTGGCCATAAGAAAGAGCTAACTGCCATCGATCCTAAAGTGAACATCTATCACAAGTGTAACTATGAAGGAGTGAGTCCGGTTGTTATCTATCGCTTTATATTTTCTTTATTTTACCGTTGTTATTTTTTATAAATAAATAAAGAAATTAGGTAAGGATTTGAGAATGACTTTCCATTTATTCTTATTACAGAAGACTCATTTTCATATAGCTAAGTATTTACAACTTACATGAACATTTGATAGACTGCTGGCAGAACCTCAAAGTGTGTACGAAATTTTGTAATCACTAGATGTTCAGCGTTATTCACGAAGAAGAAAAAAGGTACGCGTGTAGCGCAGTGGTTAGAAGCAGCCTTCAATGCATATATAGTCTTTGGCTCCTCCCGCGTTCCATCTACGGGGTTGGCAAATTTCTACCAATGTTTTCGGAAGCGCTTGCTCAGGTCCAAAAAACTATCAGAAATGAAGATCTAAAAACGTTCTAAGAGGCTATCGCACGATTTTAAGAAGAGTTACTCACGACGTACCTTCAACAACATTCGTGGAGGAAACAAAGCTCTCACACTATAGCGAACCAACATTCAAATACGGACACCACCGTAGGTGACGAGTGTAAGACAATGAACTTAGTGAAAAGTGCTTCAATTCTTGTAATATGAGACGGGCAGTATAAACAAAAAATTTTGAAGCTACTGGCCTTAATCAAAATGTAGAAAAAAAGTAGAAGAATAAAAACATAATCGAGAGGAAGTCAAAGCACGGGTCTCGATTGTTGCCGTGGATAGCATGTGAGCCCCGATAAGATTAATCGCTAAGAATTTGAATTGATAGGCCATAAATGATTACCTAACTAACCCCTTTTGTGAGCTAGTTGGTCGGCCTTCACTAGTGATTCTCTGGTTTGTTCAACTAGATGTGACTAGCTTTGAAAAAGTTTTGGAAGGGCATCTGCTTGTTTTTGTAGCGTTTTGCGTCTAGTTATAGTTTTCACTGTCACTATACACTTTCTCGACTTTTCATTATATCCGACAAATTGACAAATTGTGAACATACACTTCTCTCTTCCCAGAACGGAATTTGGTGAGATAAATTTTTTCTAGTTGGATCACATATTTCTTTTCAGCTATGCTTCAAGAAGATCTCTGTAAAGATTCCCAAGAATTTCGTGACTGAAGGCGAAACGGCGGACAAGGTATTTGACATTGGAGAGCTCAATTTAGCCGGAGCTTTTTCCGGAGAAAGTATAGACTGTCTAAATTAGAATGCATAAATATTTACTCATTTCCTTAGTTTTTGTGAATTCCGATATCTTCGTTATATTTGTGGTCCATACCATCAAGTCAGGTGACGAGTGATTTCTAAGTTTTTCACATAACCTTAATCGAAGCAAAAAGGTTACGAACGACATTCTCTGATTTGATAACACTAATACCAATCGGTTTTTCGTGAGATTAATTTTTCTCTAGCCTAAAGAAGCAGCGAATGTATTGCGTGATGTCACCGTGCCGACGACGGAAAACGGCAACCAAAACCAATTGCAGTTGAGCAGACCTCCTTAGAGTGTAACGTTTTCAGTATAATTTTAACCACTGTTACCACGCACTTTGTTGGCAAGGATGTTACACAACTGGCAAGAAGGATTTTAAAAAGTCAAACCCCACAGTCTTATTCTCCTAGAATTTATAGTGGAGCTTTCGAGACTTTCTGGATTAATCCCAAGAATCCGAAAAAGAACCGCAGGAAGGAATGCCTCATTATCACACTTGTGTTGGGCTATTGGTATAAATAATCAGTGGAAAAGGAAGTGTTATGCATTGCGGAACAGCAGCGTTGGTCAACTCTTAGTGCTTCCTTGTGATGAATCACAGTAAACTAATGTTTCAATCCCAGCTTTTCAAAGAACGGTTGGCCCACGATAATCTCATTCGATACTGGCTACTCACAAACGCTTGAATACGCTATTGTTTCGTTCTACGACAAACTCATGATGAAACAGCACTGCGTATTCCTCTATGAGAACGATCTTACGTCGACGTTTCACTTGCGGTATTAACTTCTCCATTAGACTTTTACAAATTACATTAATGTTGCCTTTCTATGAGCAAAACTGGGGTCCTAAGTTAGGTTTTAAACCAGCGATTACCCTTTCCGAAAAATATAACACTGTGGTATAGACTACAGCTTAGCAAAGTTCAATACCGATTTGTGCTCACCACAACATTCTTATTGACAGCTGACTCCTGGTAGCACCAATAGGGTAACAATATTACCGAAAAAGGGCTAAGCAAGAGCCTCAGCTTGTGAGGTGGGTAAAACGCGAGTCCTCGCTTGGAGTAAACGCGAATTCGAAGCCCATTGAGGTTTCGAGTTTTCCCCATGTCTCGGTATCTCTATGGTTGTTTCAATAGTGTTTAAATTCCGCTCATGCAGAAGGGTTGGCACAGAAGTGGTTTCGGTGAACAGCATGGTCCGTCGTCATCGCTTAAATCAAACCTGATATGAACGGAACCGCAATTTTGCGCTATCCAATAAACAGTGTTTAAATTCGTATATAAAATCGTACCTTGCACCCTCCTTGTCTTAGGTTATTCAGGCCAACTCTTCCGTCAGATAAGTTTTAACGATCTATTTTGTGCACTCATCACTTTCGCTGTCCGGTTTCACAGCATGTTTGTTATAAATATTGTTTGTAGCTCATGCGCTACTGTAAGTCCATCGTGACAGAATGCTACAGCTATGTATTCATTTCCACGGTGAACACAGATGTGCACACAACTTACAGTGAAGCAGAACACCTAGTGAACTGGACAACACATTTCAACAAATCAAGAGAAGTAAATTTATACTTAGCCTCTTATGCCCGACGCGAGTTGGTTCCCACTCACACGACACGAAAATAGCAGCTCTTTTGAGTTCAAGACCCACATAACTCCGTTCAAAGCAATTTTTAATGACATACAAGACTTCTTTTAATTCGGAGATAAAATTCTGACGTTGTGGTATTCATGGGACATTTTGTGTGCACCTTTTTCTTGTGCGATGTCAGGTTAAGCGTGCTTTTTATCTTTATGGCTGCCGCGATTTCGCTTGGAATATAAATAATTATAATCTTAACCATTTTACTTACCGCCTACTATAATTTTTCACGGCATGGTATAATTTGAAATACAACCAAGATGATGTTGAGATAACACGTTAGTTGCGTCGATTGTTGACGGATGGGGGTGTCGGTGAACTAAAAGTCAGCGAATTTTTTGAGCTCGAACCTCCACTCGTTCTTTCGACTGTTGTGCTGGCAACTGCGCACACATCACTGACGACTACACCATAGCGATTCCCCTTGCCTTTTCCAGGATCTGTTTGTTCCTTTACGAAACTCATAAACGCCTGTTCGAGGCTGTTCTGCGAAATCTGCAACGAATCGGCTTAGAATCGAACGTCAGGAACCGAATAGCTGTTGCAAAATTTGAACGCACCGAGAATGAAAACACATATTTCTAGACGTTAACTGGGGTAAATCCGAATAACTGGGATAGAATGCATGGTGGTGGTAGATCAAAGTGCAATAGAGATCCATGAGCTTTCTGTAATACGAAAACTACCATTCTCCTTAAAATTAGCGTCCCTTACATTGTTTTTTCAATACTTCAATGAGACTTGTAGTCTCATTGAGGCTCATTGAAGTATCGCGAGAGTACGAAAGACCGCTCTGTCCCACTTTCATCGATTTACAGAAGGCCTTTGATTCAGTTGAGATAGAAGCAGTCTTGGAATCCCTTGATAGTCAAGGAGTCCCTGCTCAGTACATAAAGATTCTTCGTGAGCTGTACAAAAATTTCACAATCAAGATTTCACCATTCTACAACGAAATTAACGTGGACGTCAAAAGAGGAGTTAAGCAAGGCGATACCATCTCGCCAAAATTATTTACCGACACCCTACAGAATATCATGAGAACATTGGAATGGGATAATATAGGTGTGAGAATCGGTGGTCTGCAATTACACCATCTTCGCTTTCCTGATGACATCGTCCTTATAACGCCAAACATTAGTCAGGCGGAAGGTAGGCTTGCCGACTTTGATAAAGTCTGGAGAAAGATTGGTCTTCGACTAAATCTCACAAAAACGATGTTTCTGAAGAGCGAATTTTTCTTCGCATGCCCCATTCACGCTCAACGAAACGAATATCTCCGAATGCTCCAGTTATATCTACCTAGGTCGGAAAATCAATATGATGAACGACTTAGCTCCAGAGCTGAGAAGAAGGAAAAGAGCGGCTTCGGGAGCTTTCAAGAGCATCGAGGATGTAGTGAAGAGAACAAAGAACACCCGATTCCGTGCCCACCTTTTCTATTCCACGATATTTCCTGCCCTTACGTATGCGTCAGAAACCTGATTTCTGGGTAGACAGAATGAAGGATCACTCAGCGTTATCGAACGCACATTGTTTCACACAAGAGATGGGATTCGAAGCTCCGACTTCCGTCTACGATCAAAAACCAAGGTTACCGTTGTGTACGCCAAGCATTCGAAGATAATGTGGCGCGGATACGTAATGCATATGAATGACAACCGATGGACAAGAGCCGTTAGTGATTGGATTCCTCGAGATTTCAAACGCACTGCAGGAATACCACCGACTCGATGCTCAGAGTTTTCACGAAGAGTCGAGAATATGATGCTCGACGAGTTCATAGAGCAAGCATAATCCACTGAGTTACTTTTGCGCGCGACAGGGAAAAGTGGAAGATTTACTACCGCCAGCTCGAGTCATCCGACGATCAACGTGACAACAGGTGATACATGGTTTTTAACTCGCTATTTCAATAATGCATGAGAATCGTTTCCGACAGTAGTTATTATTCCTTAATTTTTTTCCTACTTCATGCACATGTAAAGAGGCGAGTAGTGCAGTAGCAGAGGTCGCGTTCATTGCATAGACGACCCCACCCTAAACAAGGCTTCCTGATGGAAACGCCGGACTCCTTCTCAGCTTGGGATACCCTGCTGAGAGAACGAATCCCTACTATACATCGCTGTGCTACACATAGAAACACCTCCCAGCCACGATGAGGCGATAAACCATCAGGAGGAATTACTTAGTGAACATTACAAATATCGATAAAAACGAGTTTCAAAAAAGCTCTTTAAACTTGCGAAGAACTTTGATCTTCAGATCTCCGGTGTTCTAAAACGGCAAGCTCGCAGGGCTAGATTCACTGGAGCCATAACCGCTATCATTTCGGACCAACTCATGAGTTCTTATTGGATGTGAAACACTGGAATGCTAGCTGCCAGCAGGCAGCTGTTAACCAGAGATCGGAAATGAATTGTAACCTTTTAGCTTTCTACCTCAGTTTCTGGGTGTACACAATTGGCGCAGAGGGTCACTTAGAAAAACTACGTTGTATTCAATGTCGCCACGAAAACTGTCACTTGTGTGAAACGTGGAAATGGCCTAGCTACGAGAAGACAATCTTAAAACTACGTTCTCTGCAATTTTACTTATGTTCTAGAGCTATGTTTTGAAAAAGTGCTTTAGGGTAAATGTATATATCGGTTTCTCGAATTGTTGTTTTATCCTTGTTATCAGTTACAAATGGGACAAGGTGTGCTCAGTGGTGGAGTCGATCAGAAAGCAAAAGCTCTAGTTCAATCACTTCCTCAACTCTCTCCTCAAATTCACGTCGTAACGCCTTCGCCCGGTTACCACCAATATTACAAGGTGAATCGACTAGGCTAGCATGGTACGGGATTCACAAAGAAGATGGAATCCTCAAGCAACAGCGGAAGCAACACAAAATGTTCGAGCACCATTGTGAAGAATGAAGAGGAATGAAAACGAATCGAATGCAAGAAGTGATGCGATCGTCACAGCATATGTGATGACGGTACATTTAAAACAAAAAAATATTAACTATTAATAACTCGAAAGACTTTCTTTAGCTGACGTGAGGTATAAAAGAGCATCTAGATGGAAAAGATAAAATCGGTTTAAACACCCCTCTAGGTACGCATAGGGCAGAAAAGCACAACGGCGATGATTTAGAAGTGAGTATGCGGATCCTAGCGCAGAAATCGAAAAAATCGACACTCAAAACTTTTGAGGCGTTTTGGATAAATTTCAAAAATCCAAGGATGAAGCGGAAAGACCAATGCCTACCACGCGTGACCTGGCCTCCTATTTCAAAATGATATTTTGACCCTGGGGTGTGTCTTGCTCCCGACTCCATGTGCACTACGTGTGGGCCAGTCTCAT